ATCTATCTATCTATCTATCTATCTATCTATCTATCTATCTATCTATCTATCTATCTTCTTTCTGCCTATCTGCCTATGTGTGTCTGTCTATCATCTATCTATCATTATTTATCTACCTACCTGCCTATCAGAGACGTGGAGTCAGGGGAGGCAGGGCCTCACCACTGTCATCATGAAAAAGAAAAACAAATTTAAAAGGAAAAAGGCAGAGGTAGTTGCTGCCAGAATCACAGTGGATGACTCTGCTTAATGCTCTTATCTTTATGATCACTTGAGCAGAGTTAAGCAAGGGTTAAAAGGCGAAAAATTCCTTATGCAAAGGAGGCACGTGGTTCTCCCGCCTCCTCCTGCAGGGGGCACTTTTTTTTAGAGGCTTTTTTTTAAACAGTTAAGCAGAGTCATCCACGTGGTGACTCTAGCAGCAACTATCCCAGCCTGACTTCAGCAGCTTTTGCCTTTCTCTTTTTACATTTTCACATTTTCATTGTGGCAGACAAGAGGAGAGTTGAAATCCTCTGTGACACAGCTGGAAAAGGTAAGTGGGTTGGAGGGAGGGGGGAGGAATTCAAAATTATTTGTAATTGTAATTTCTATTATTATAAGTAGTGTGTGTGTGTGTGTGTCTGAGTGTGTGCATTTTACCCGCACTTTTTTATTTCTTATTTTTTAAAGCCATGCCGCCGTGCCTCACCATAGAGCAGGACACGCCGGCTTCCAGCCATACAGTGGAACTCCCGCTGTATGGCCAAGGCGGTGGCATGCACTTTAAAGTGCCAGCGTACCTTCCGGCCATAATGCAGGACATGTCTCGCTTTATGGCGGGGCGCGGCGGCATGCACTTTAAAGTGCGGGCCTGGGAGGAGGAGGCGGAGCGGGGAGGAGGCGGCTTTTGCTCCTGCCTCATCCGGGCTCCTCCTTGGTGGGCCTGCTGGAGCTCTGAAACAAAGTGGCAGGGGCCGAGTTTGGCTACTCGGGGCTTGGAAGGGGGAGCAGAATGCGGGTCTTCTGCTCCCAGAAAGTCCGGGGAGGGAAGCGGGGCTGGCCCGTTTCCTCCCGGGGCTGCTTGGAGACGGAACCGAGACTGCGGAGAGTCGCCCGCGGACGGCTTCTCTGGAGCAGAGGAGGGGCGATAGAAGCTGAGCTGAGCCTCTTGCCACTGCCGGCCTGGCTTGCGGAGCGCAAAAAGAGGAGGGGGCCTCTTGGAACACCCCACCCCTCTTCGCCTTTCACCTCTGCGGCTCTTGCTCCAGCCTGGGCAGGAACCGGCGCTCTTCTGCTGTGGGCGGGATGTGCTCCTGGTGGCCTGCGGCNATATGCTGACTCTCTGTAAACCGCTTAGAGAGGCCTGAAAGGCCTATGAAGAGGTATATAAGTCTACTGCTATTGCTATTGCTATTGCTATTGCTATTAAGTCCTGTGGACTTCAACTCCCAGAATTCCCCCAGCCAGGTGTATTCTGGGAGTTGAAGTCCACATGATTTAAAGTCGCCAAGGCTGAGAAACACTGCGTTAGACAGAGACGGTGAGGTTGACTTAATTCCAGTGAGGAAATCTCGCTATTCTGATATTGGAGAGAGCCCTTAAGGTCATCTAGTCCCACCCACTTTGTAGGAGCCCAAATTAAAACATCCTCAATGCTCCAAATCACATTGTTCAAGCCGCCCTTGACTTATGACCGCAACTGAGCCCAAAATTTCCGTTGCCAAGCAAGACAGTCGTTAAGTGACTTTTGCTCCATTTTACAACCTTTCTTGCCGTTAAATGAATCACTGCAGTTGTTAGGTTAGTAGCACGGCCGTTAAGTGAATCCGGCTTCCCCACTGACTTTAGTTGTCAGAAGGCCCCAAAAGGGGGATCACATGACCTTAGCACACAGCAACCGTCGTAAGTGTGAGTCAATGGCGAGGGGTCTGAATTTTGATCATGCTACCGTGGGGAATGTTGCAACAGTCACAAATGAGAGGACTGGTAATAAGTCACGTTCCTAGCACTGTCATATCTTTGAGTGGTCATTAAACAGATGGTCGTAAGTCGGGGACTGGCTGTATGTAAGTGGGGAAGAACTATAAAAGCAGATTTGCAGACAAAATTAACTGTGAGACAAACATCAGTGCAGTTTTTCCTGGCACCATTCAGAGGTAAATTAAGATTTTGTCTTATTTTAGAAGGATTTATCTTTTTAAATCTCCTAGTCTTCCCTCTTTAGTTCAGGATTTACTGGTGGTCTCCCATCCAAAGCCCAATTTGGCCCAATCTAGCTTAGTTGCCAAGCATTCACAAGATGGGCAACGGGCGGATTTCAGGCGTGGATTTTGTTAGAATATTCATGATTGGGAGAGACATGGGAGAGCCAATGAGAGCTGAAACGGAACTGAGTCTGTGCTGAGAATTGAAACTGAAACAAGACTGATCTCTGTCTGCTCTGAACTCTGAAATGAAACCAACTGTTCTCTCCTGCTTCTATTTCTGCTTATAACTTCTACCATGTTGGAAGAATCTACTATCGGTCTTGTACATTTATTCAACTGTTATTACGTATACGAAGAAGTGAATGAATCCTGCTGAATCAGTTATCTCTGTGTGCTTTTCTGGATTTGATTTTTCTACAACAAACCTCTGACAGATCGACCCGACAGAACAAATCTGGGCCCATTAACTGCCCATTAAGCTTGAGACAGACTGAGCAACCTGTCACTCAAAACAGGCCTCTTGTAAGTCAGCAATTCACCAGGTAAAGCCTCTCACCCATTTTCCAAGCCTTTTTTGAAGTCTCCTGCAAAATTCTGGCCGTTGGGCCACGTCAACTTCCCTCTGCAAAGAGAAGAGACCAATTAAAGCAATTAACTACCGCATTTTTTCGGAATATAAGACGCATTGGAGTATAAGACGCACCCAAGTTTTTGAAGAAGTAATTTAAAAAAAAAAAAGTTTTTGCACTCTGCAGCCCTCCCAAACCCTCTGCACGTCTCGTTTTTTGTGAAAAACAGCCCGCTTTTTGCTCGTTTTTGCCTTCCCCATTTTTGTGAAAAATGGGATGCGTTGGGGCGGAATTTCGGGAGGCCAAAAATGCTGTATTCGATGTATAAGATGCACCCAGATTTTCACCCTCTTTTTTGGGGGGGGAAAGGTGCGTCTTATACTCCGAATTATACGGTACATCTGAGTCTTTTTAAGGCAGCGCCTTCAGGGACTTACTTCCCGTGGGGTTTCCCCAAGCACCACTCTCCCTCGTAGGTGGCGCCCTTGAAGCGCCCTTCGGCCCTGAAGGCGAAGGTGGCAAAGCGGCAGAGGGGAGGGACGAAGCCTTTGCCCTCATTGCCCCACAGGGAGGCGTCTCTCTTCTCCACCAAGGCCTGGACCACTGCCCGGTGGATCTTCCATTGCCACACCGCCTGCAGAGGGGGATAAGATATGGATGGAAAATAAATGAATGAGAAAAAGAGAAAGAGAGAAAGAGAGAGAAAGAAAAAAGACAGAAAGAAAGAAAGAAAAAGAAAGAAAAAAGAGGGAGGGAAGGGGGTGGGGGAGAAAGAAAGAGAGAGAAAGAAAGAAGGGCAGAAAGAAAGGAAAAGAGAGAAAAAGAAAGTGAGAGAAAGAAAGAGAGAGAAAGAGAAAGAAAAAGAAAGAAAGAGAAAGAAGTGAGGGAGGGAGTGAAGGAAGGGAGAAGGGGGAGAAAGAAAGAGAGAAAGAAAGAAGGAAGGGTAGAAAGAAAGAAAAAGAGAGAAAGAAAGAGAGAAAGAAAGTGAAAGAGAAAGAAGGGAGGGAGGGAGTGAAGGAAGGGAGAGAGGGGGGAGAAAGAAAGAGAGAAAGAAAGAAGGAAGAGTAAAAGAAAAAGAGAGAAAGAAAGTGAGAAAAAGAAAGTGAGAAAGAGAAAGAAAGGAGGGAGGGAGTGAAGGAAGCGAGAGAGGGGGGAGAAAGAAAGAAAAAAGAGAAAGTGAGAGAAAGAAAGAATGAGAAAGAGAGAGAGACAAAGAAAAAAGAAAGAAAAAGCATCAGAGAAAGAAGGAAAGAGAGAAAAGAAAGAGTGAGAGAGAGAAAGTGTGTGTATGTGGGAGGGGGAGGGAGAGAAAGAGGGGTGTCCCCATTGACTTTGCTCATCAGGAGGTGGCAAAAGGGGATCATGTGACCCCTGGACACTGCAACTGACATAAGTACCTGCCAGTTGCCAAGCATTTGAGTTTTGCTCACATGACCATGGAGATGCTGCAACAGTCACAATTGTGAAAAAGTCACTGTTTTCAGTGACATTGTAACTCTAAATGGTCACTAAGTGAACCCTTGTAAGCCGAGGACCACCTGCATGTCATGCCCACCTCCAATGCCGGGAGCCACTTACTCGGGATTCTGGTCCTTTGGCCCAGAGGAAGAAATTCTCTTCTGGAGTCACAACGTTTAAAGTATGGCTGCAAAAAAATAATAATACAAACTGTTGACATTGTGCATTAAAAATAATTTCTTATCCATTCGTCCACCCGCTTTTTTTCCTCCCAAGTACTTGAAGTCCTCAACCTACAGCCATTTGTTTGGGTGACCATTCAAACTTACAACGGCACTGAAAAAATTGACCTAGGAATGATTTTCACACTTACGACCATCGGTCGTGTGATCACAGTTTGAATGCTTGATAACTGACTCATATTTATGATGGATGCAGTGTCCCTGGGGGGGGGGGGTCACGTGATCCCCTTTTGCGACCGTCTGACAGGCAAAGTTAAAGGGGAAGCTGGATTCACTTAACAACCACATGACTAACTTAACAACTGCAGGGATTCACTTAACAACAGTGTCAAGAAAGGTCAGAAAATGATAAGTAATAATTGGACATGAGCATTGAATGGTACTCATGAAAGGAAGATTAGAAATCCTTTTGGATTATATACAGAGGCTAATAAAAAAGAATTTAATTAGATACAGTTAAAGTTTTGATTATTACGGGGGAAATGTTATGCTACAGGATATAGTTAAATAAAGGAGGGATAAAGATGACAATTTATATACATATACATGAGTATAATATAAGGAAAGTAGATGAAAATTGCCAACAGTGATTTGGAAAGGAGGATTAGAAAAGTTTGTTACTAAATATTATGGATGTT